TACACAATCAGGTATAGCTCATAACACTGGGTAGAAGACTATGTACAATTATTTTTGACTTAGCAGAAGGTAATAAATGACGAATATTACAAAATAATTTCAGTTTTTTTCTCATATATTACGTGAAGGGTCAAATAAAGACGTCAGACAATAATTAAAATTCTCCCGATTTTTTCTTGGGTTGGGCTTTAAAGGGTTAGGTCATTTCTGAAGCTGCGTTTCTGACATTTAAAGGCTTTTGCCCATTAGGAGCCCCTGATCTCAGTTGTAGCCTCTAAATACGGACACAAACACATGAGGATCATCCAGGCTGCAGCTTCACGCACGCACAGATAAACACAACCTCCCACAGGCAGTAAACAGCTGCCCCGGTGTTTGAAAAGAGTCTCAACAAAAGCCAGATTACGTCGGTGGGGAGCAGCCTGCAGTCTGTAGGAGCCTCGGTTGGATATACAACTCCTCCAACATCCAAGTCGGCCATTTTGATTGGGTCATGTGTGACTAGCAGCTTTCTGAGGTGGAAACGAAACTTTACTGTCTATACAAAATCGGAAGACAAACGATGTCCTAACCCTAACCCTAAACCTAACCCTGACCCTAACCCTGACCCTAACCCTAAACCTAACCCTAAACCTAACCCTAACCCTAACCCTGACCCTAAATCTAACCCTAACATTCATTCATTCATTCATTTATTTATTTATTTATTTATTTATTTATTTATTTATTTGTGTATTTATTTATTTATTCATTCATTTATTTATATATTTATTTATTTATATATTTATTCATTCATTCATTAATTCATTCATTTATTTTTTTATTTTTTTATTGATCTATTCATTCATTCATTCATTTATTGAAATAGATAAAGAAATAATTGAGAAAATGTAAACAGAAATGTGATATTTATTGTGATTTTTATATTTATCCACCGTCATGGAAACCGTTCCACATAAAGAAACAATCAGTCCTTTGAAACTGTTTAACAATTTATACTCTAATTAGTTCGAACTTCAGAGAGGATTTCCCATTTTTACGCTTTTATCTCGAGATCAAAAGCTCATCATTGTGCCATTTCAAGACAACAAATCTCATTTTTAAGTGATATCAAACTGATCCATGATGTTCTCTCAAGAAATCTGAACAGCTTTTGTTTTTTTCTCAAGACTAAAGTGAGGTGGAATCAAGTTTTTCCTGAGTTAGCACCTGTTTTTACCACCCATAACACCTGTTGGCTCACACTGGGAGGATTAAGTCAGAGCATACAGGTGTAATTCTGGGTTTTAAATTCTCAGTGGCCTCTCTGGGGAGAGATAAGAGCTCAACAGTCTCCTCCACTCTTTAGCCAGAAGCTACTTTCAACAATCTCGCAGTTGGCAGCGATGGAAAAACAAACTTTACCGCACCAGCAAAATATATTAGCCCTTCATCTTGAGAAATAAAGCCTTTTTTTATCTGGAGATAATGGCCAGCCGAGTTTTGTTGTCTCTAGATAATCAGATAATGAACTCGTAATCTCAGGATAAGGACAAAAATGTTCAACCTTAGGCCTCTCGACAGGAAAGTGAAACTCCTTTTCTTTAAAGCTACAAACGGACTCTGTCAATAACCCGAAGTGTGCTGAGTTTTACAGGTGTGTGGACGCCGATAACAGCCGGGTTAATTTGACATTTACGAGCGAGTTAAAGCTGCAGAGCCGTTTTCTGGGTGAGTCACAAGAAAAACTTGTAGAAAAAGGTAGAGGTTAATACTGAAGTCCTGTGTAAATATACAGCGTATCCCGGTTTTGTTATGTTTTCCTGGAAAACTCGAGGAACTCGTCGTGCTTTTGTGTGTTTTCTTTTGGCTTCGGCTCTCTCATAATCAGCTCGACTTTACACAGTTTTACCACACTGTTTAGACAGAATTCACGTCTGACTGACGACATGACGACGTGGGTTTCTCTGCTCAAAATCGAGTTGTCATGAGACAAGAACGGCTCCAGATGTGGACCCACTGGATGGGCATGTGACCAGGTGGAAGTCAGCAATGTGGCAGCAAGCGTGAATGAAAACCACCCCCAAAATAGCACAAAATGAGTCTTAAAAACGGTGTAATATTCGCTTTAAGATCAGCTCGATTAAAAAGAAAAACTCTGTTTTCCTGGAGACTTACTTAAGAATCCATGTTTAAAAAAAAGGAAAAAATGGGAAAAAAAGGAGAAAAAAGGGAAAAAAAAGGAGAAAAAAAGGGGGAAAAAGGGAAAAAAGGGAAAATAATCAAATAAAAAAGGAAGAAGAAAAAAAAAGAAAAAAAATCCATGTTACAATTCAATAGTTTTAAAAGATAAACTAGCTTTTTTCCCATCTAAAAAGTATCAGTTGCTTGTTTCTTCTCATCTACCATCAGAAAAAAAAAGAAAAACCCTGTTTTACATGACTCCATTTTCCTGGAGACTTACTTAAGAATCCATGTTACAATTTAATCATTGTAAAAAATAAGCTACCTTTTTTTTCCCCATCTAAAAAGTATCAGTCACTTGTTTCTTCTCATCTACCACCAGCTATTAGTCCAGTTCAATTCAATTAATTCAAATCTAATTAAATTAAATCGTATTTATTTTGCATCAAAATGCAACAAATGTCATTTCTGACCACAGTTCAATTCCAGTCACTGAACTCAATACAGTTATAATCCAATCAATAAGTTCATTAACACAGTTCATACAGAGGAAATTAAACAAAGATTCCTGGCTATGGAAACCTTCAGATATCCATAGTACAAAGAAAATGGAGTCCAGTTACAACTAATTTGTTTGAAGTTTAACTCTTGTATATCACATCCATTCATTTGATCTCCACTTATTTTTACTTTGAGTGTTTCTAATCCATCGTTTGACCCACAATTCAGTTTGAAACGGCTCACTTTCTGGATTTATCGACGTCTGACCGGATTCAAAGGCCAGGACGCTGAATCCTTTATGGTTTGATGTAAGCTGGGGTTTTTTTTTCAGGGTTAAATGTCAGATATAGTTCTATATTTGACCCTGATCCGGCTGCCTTTGGCTGGTATGTTTGATTTTGTGTTTAGATTAAAAACAAAACCTCGCAGAACATCGTAAATCCATCATCAGTCCGAGTCGTTTTAACTCTTTCTGACGGAGCTCCAGCTCTAATTACGGCATCAAAGTCAGTTTCGGCTCAGAGTCTGAAAAGAAAGAACAATATTTAGCTTTTTTTTGTGTAAATCCTCTGTCCAATTTGACCCTAATTATACATAAACCATAAGAAATCTGGTCCAGCTCTCTTTTCTTCTGCCTGCCTGAGAAAACTGTTGATAATAACAAATACTTGTGGAAAAAATGCTCCCATATGGTTTCCATCTCAGTGCGGTTTCTGGCGAAATACTCAACCATGAGAAAAATAATAACAAAGTTATGACAAAGATGAGTAACACATTTCAAACAGGACCAGAAAATAAAAAGAAGAAGCCTTGGGAGGGGAGAGTGTTGCACCACGAGGGAAATGATGAACACCGACCCTGGGCCTGTCAGTTTCCCTTTAACCTTTAACTTAAACAGGGATGTTCCCTGAAATAAAGCCAAAATATGATACGATGAAGCAACCGTGAAATGATTTGTCCAGTAGAAAGATATTCTGAACACTAGGCTGAATCAGGCCTGTTTGCTGCATTTGATTCTTGCAGAAACATCCTAAAAAAATATTGAAAAATGAAAGAAACATGTAGAAAACCATCACTCCTAATCAACCAGAAGAAAAAAAACAAGCTAAACCGAACCGTGAAAGACTGAACGAATGTGAGGGGAAATGAGGTCTATGGGGATAAACGAACAAACAGTTAAATCTGTAAAAACAGTTCAAAGTCACATCCCTTTTTTTGTCCATGAATACTTATTAAATATTTCCAAATGGTCTGTCCGCTTCCTTTCAGAGCTTTTCCCCTGGTTGTGCTGCTTCCAGGCATGGATTTTGTCTACAAATAATCTGAATTTTTGATGAGTAAAATGTTGCTTTTTTCCTAGTTTACGAGTTTATGAGGATATTATTGATGTTTTGACCTGTGCACCCCTGATCTTTAGACTGTATTTCTACATAATAAGATTATTTTTATAACCATAAAATAGTTGTTGAGGGGTGAATTGACTTAGCAAAGCACTATATATATATATATGTGTATATATATCTATTGAATGATCTGAAATTTGCCAAAAAGTCCCATCCCTGAAGATGCCCTTTTATTTGTCTTTTTTTTTTTTTCATTTTTTTTTTCTTTTTATTTTTCATTTTATTTTTTTTTTATTTTATTTATTATTTTTTTTATTTATGTATTTATTTTTTATTTTTTAAATATTTGTATTTATTTATTTATTAACTTATTTATTTATTTATT